CTCCCTTTCATTATTAATAACCGGTTAAAATATTAGTACAGATAATTTCTCTAATATAACGATTATACCTTGTAACATCGTCTTCCGGGTAGCCCGGCAGAACCTACTGAAGCGCAGCTGTTATTTAAGTCTAAAGCTGGATTACTCTAAGTAAAAGCCTAATAATTTAGCAGTCTAGTATAAGTACAATACTGGATTCCTCTGAGTTGACTAAAAAGAAAAAAAAAATTGGGGGTTAGGACTTATAGAGCAAACCCCACCCTAATACCTCATAGAAGCCGAACCTGAAGCTTTCCGTCCACAGCACCCGAGGGATAACCCGAGATTTATATACGCTTCAATTTCACGCTAATACGAATATTACTAGCGATTCTATTTAAAGTTCGGCTATATACTAATACTACTCAAACTTTTATAGGTAGTTTACCCCCAATATAGTCTAATTGGATGGTCATCCTTCGCTTACTTCCTTATCGGCTTATCTCAAATCTTATAATACAATACAGCGTTTTATCTTAACTTACGCGGCTATCTTATCTTAGGGTACAATTAATCGGTCGGTCAGTCGGTCGATCGGATCACTCTATAATTGAATTAGTAGAATTATTAAATTTAAATTTAGAAATAGTATTTTAAATTAGTAGTTTTCTTTTTCTACTTATCCAAATACGAGTCCAAAGGGTCGAAAAGTAGTCTAGAAAGTCGAATATTAAATCTAAAGAATCGAAGATTTCTAAAAAGGGAGGCTAATCCGGACCAGTCCTATAGGTAGAAGTATAGTTTACCCCCACTTAAACTATAGAACTATTATAGCTAACTGTTACCTAGGACCGGTAATAGAGCTTATAGGAATATAATTTATATAGTAGAATTTACAATTATAACTATAATAATAATCTTGTTCTCTATACTATATAACTGAAGTGCCTTTTTGGCATCGGGTCCTTCTCCAGTTCCCTAGAGGGGAAAACCGTACGGCGTTAAGCGCCGCTAGATAAAAACCCCTAATTATATTTCGGTCGTAGATTCTACGCCGCTCCTATTTTATTTATAACTATAACGGTTTTTATTTACCGTTATAGCGAATTAATTTCATCTCTCCTACTACTATATTATTTTAGTATTAAAATAATAAGAATAATAGGAATAGGATCTAAATTTAAAGTACTACTTCCCTTTACTATCCCTCCGTCCTAATATTTACCGCTCCTTCCTCTATCCTTTCCCCGCTACCCTATCCTATCTCCCTATCCGTTATTCTACTTCCCCGCTTCCTTATTCCGTTTACAATTACCTCCGCCCCGGCCCTTTATTTCCTATTTTACAATTCTATTTCTATTTATAATAGTATAAGGGCCTTCTCCTTCTTTTATATAATCTTCCCTGCGGCGCCCCTTCCTAACTCCTATCCTCCTTCTTCCTTATTGTAATTTTTATTTAAAATAATTTCCTTTAATTATTATTACTCTAATTTAATCGATTTAACCTCTAACGTAGAAATTTCCTCCCTTAAACCGTCCTTTAACTTTATATTCCCAATATATTTAAAGCCCGTAGCCCTCGCCCGCTTCTTTTATAATTTTCTTAATGTTATAATTCTTTAGAACCGGTATAATTTCCTCCCTATTCTTTTAATTTATATACTAATCCGAATAATATTATTTATGAAATTCTTTACTTATACTATACTTTAGATTTGGTTACTTATTCGAAGATTAGCGATAAATTTACTTTTATTAATGCTTTTTGTATAATTATCATTAGTAAGGTTTATTATATTTTAGCGTCCGGTAGGTTCTTTATTTTCCTATTCCTTCCTTTATTATTATTTAATTCCTATATTATAGTTATTAATATTTAAAATGTAATTTATATCTATATTACTAATAAATATATATTAAACGTCCTTACTAATCTTTATAACGTTTATAATACTATTTAGGCAATAGTTATTATTATATTATTGGGTAGTTAACTTAATTTTAATTAGAGATTCGAATTCTTTATTCGTATTATTAATATTTTTACTAATTGTATACATATACGCTTAGAGTATAACGACCTCCCTATTAATATTTATACTTTTCCCTACCCCTTATATTCTAATATTACCGACCTCCTACTAAAAGGTTACTATAAATTAATTATAAGGGATATTTATTATAGTTATACCTCTTTCCTCCTTAGCGGCGGCGCTATAAACCCGGTCCGGATTATTTTTAACTTTAGTAGTGGTACTATTATTCTTATACGTATTATATCTAGTAGTAGCGTTATTACTATTTTTATTCGTATAGTTTCCAGTATTAATAGTAGTAATTCTATTCCTAATAGTCCGATGGCCGTCGATACCTCCGGTTACTATGGTCTAAATAAAGATCAGGTTTAGTAGTACTATAAAATTACTACGAATTAAATTTATATAATAGTACTACTCAAATAATTCTTTAAATGGAATTAGGTATTTCGTTAAATAGCGCTTTAGTTAATTATAATTATAATTTAAATAGTACCCGTAGTTAGTATAATTATTTCTTCCTCGTCCCTATATTTTATTATTTTAATATTACCAATATTTTATATCTTTCTTAAAAGTATTTTACGAATTCTTTACGCTATTCCTCTTTTAATTTAATTACTAGATAGTATTCTTTTAATTTTGTTAATTTTAATACCTAAAAAAGAATCCTCTCGGCTTTAATTCTATCATTTAGATATTTTTAAAATTCTTCCTTTATAGGTAACCAATTTTCGGGGTCCGATTAAAAGAGAGTATTTATATTAAAGTAATTTAGAACTATATAAGTAAAGGTCTCTTTTTTAAATCCGTATATATAAATAAGTATTAGGACGTCCGGTATTTTCTTCCAGTAGAAGAAAGCCTAAAAGTTAATAACCTTTATTTTAATTCAGATTAGGAGGGAATTCTTTATTTTAGTTAGTAAATACAGTTTATTATTTTTATCCTTTAGCGTCCGTTATTTCCCCTTTTTTTTATATTAATTATATATTATTAGATAGCTTTTTTATTAAACTTAGGGGTAAGGTTAGCGATAGTGAATTTATATTACCGATTTAATTTGGTTATTATTATTACTAAATAGTAATTGTAGTATAATATCTATTTTTAATTTATTGTATCCTCTAATTACTTTTCTCGGTTGGCGGCTATTAGTTCTAGGATTTATAATAGTAGTAGTTAAATCCTTAGTTCCGAGGCGGGGCCGGCTACTATTATTAATAATTTTTCTATTAGTATTTATACTTCGGCCTACCGAATTTTAGTTGTACTATTTTTTAGTTTGTTAGCGGGTGGCCGACCCCTAGTCCGTTGGGTTTGGATATAGTTAGTAATTTAGGTTGTAGTCCTTCGGATAAATTTAATTTAATTTATTTTAGTGAATTTTTTCTAAAAATTCGGACCTTTTTATTAAGGTACAGGTCGAGCGGCGGATAAAAGGTTTCTGTTTTTAAGTTCCGTACTAGCGTAGTTTTATACGCCCTAGTAATAATTCTTAAATATTTAGTTTAGTACTTCACTAATTTAATTCCTATCCTTTACAGCTTTTTATACATTTCAGTCGGTTGGTGGAATATTGAGGTTCTGTATATAATAGTATTATGAATATATTTAGTATATATTTCTTTGGCCCGAATTAAGGAGTAACTTTATATTTTTATTACTAATTTTATAAGTATATTTATTTGGGTTTTTATTTTTTATTTTACTACTTCTATATAAATTTTATAATTAAGTTTACGGTCTAACTAGACCCTTAGGAATTTTATAGATTCTATTAGTTGAAATACTACGTCCCTAAGTTAGAAAATTTCCGTCCTTAGTACCTTCGTCCGTGTAAAATGTATTAGTTCCGTCTTATTCGTTTCGAATTTTATATTTCTTATTTCTATTTATTCCGAATATATTTCCTATATTGCTTATAAGGTCCGGCAATTCTTTTTTGTAGTACGTACTACTATAATAATATTAATATTATTTATGAAATCAATTATAATTATATTTGGGATTGTAGTTGATTTTGGCATTTACTCTGGGGGCACCCGGGTCGTCTTACGGGGGCACCCAACCTTATTGGGGCACCCATCGGGTTAGGGTTAAACGTGCAGATTCTTTATTACCAACCTTTAATACAATTAAACAGTAGTTATACAACAGCATTTCCATACAAACGGTGCCTAGCCCAGTCAGCTAATAGAACCCCTATTTATAAATACTCAATACTAGATTTTAAATGGTAACCTTCTATTTCCTCCCTCTTTATAACTAGACTACCTTCTACTACTAGTACAGGCTAAAATCAACCGCACGTATATAAATATCAATCGTACTTATATCCATCACCAACATCATTTACTAACTGCTCCTTTTTGAAATCTTTCAGTATACTGCTAAGAATATAGCGCTACCCCAAGAACCTAACGTACCTATCGACCTTACTTACATCGAAGAGGAGGAAGAGTAGGAAGGCTTCTCTAATAATAATACCCTCAATTCTAGTGTATAACCACCCAATTCCAGTCCGCCTTCCTCAATACAACTCCCAGCTAGTAGTAATAATAATAATAGCGAAAGCGAATTGGAAGATAAATTCTTTAATAAAAGAAATACAATTTTAAATCCACCCTCTAGCGCTATACCTCCCGTAGCTACAATTAAAACTCCTTATAAAGCAATAAATAAATAGGCAAAGTCTTATAGCTTTGTAATTAATCGTACTTAGGGACATAGTAAGCCTAAAGCGCCCGTCAAAAACCATGTACAATATGACATTATCTAGAACCGTTTTAATTAACTATGGGAATTTAAAGTAATTATTCGAAAAACAGCCTTACGTAAGTATAATTATTAATAGAAGGCACTTACAAATAAAGATACTAAAGGTAATAATCTTTAGCACTTTCATTTACACTCCAACCTAAACTTCCAAATCTATAACTACGGGTAGTCCTAACACCTATCTATACACCCCCAATACTATAAAATAAAGCTAGAGATATTTAGAAAGATCGATAACACTTCTAAACTTGATACTATCCAAATTCGAGAGATTAGTACTATAGTACGGGAAGACTTTCCAAGCTCTATATATACAAGAACCGATTCATATAACCCACGCGCACGTATTCGCCACCGCAATCTCAATAACAATACTCCAACTAATACTTTAATCAAGTCTTTTAACAATAATAATATTAAATATATCAAAAAAATAGATCTAGAAGATAACGAACGACTATTGGGACTTATCTTTACCTTCCCAACTTATATAAATATAGCCAGAATATTCCCCGAAGTTATAATTATTAATAATATGTACAATACTAACCACTTTTATTACCCCTTTTACTAAATTTCAAGCGTTTTATCTATTAATTTAGTATTCAAATATATCTTTAGCATTATTAATAACGAAAAGGAAGAAACCTTTCACTTTTTAATTAAAATAACTAAAAAGCTAAGATCACGCTACAATCTACCCCCTCCCGCTATTATTATTATAAATAAATATAAAGAAATAAAGTGATCTTTAGGAAAGATATTTCCTAATACCTAATAATAGTTTTATTTATTCTATATTGTTAAAAACATACTATTTAATACTAAAAAGAAATAGAAGAGGCAAAAGGGGACTGGCAGTAAACACGAAGATAGCGATAACTCTAAGGATAAAGAAGGCAAAGACGATTAGGAGAATCCAATTTCTTTTAATTTAGCTAATTAAGGAGTCTACTCCTTTATACGAACCAGCGGTACTCCTAATAAAGCAACTACTAGCTCTCAACCTATTACTAAAATTATTAATAACCCTTATAGTATTATGGCCATATTCAAACTCATAATATATATTAGTACTAAATTAGAATTCTAGGCTATTTAGAAAAGTTTAAGGAAGTAATTCGAGGGTTAAATACTAGTTCTTCAATATATCCAAAAGAATTAACTTCCCATTAGGGATCAATAAGTATACTATTATATTAAGAAATATAGAAACTTTAGTATTAGGATTACTTCGCTAATCGAATTAAACAACCTTAGTATTCAAAATTACCTTCTCAATAGTAACAATAATATCCACAAGCTCATTACAGCCAGTATAGAAATAACTACTAATTAATACTAGATTTTCAAAGAAAAAAATATAAAATAGCAAACCCGCTAATAATAATAGTATATCGACCGTATATATCTAAGGAAACTACTACTATAAATTAACCATATTACTCTTAAATTAATCAGCTACGAATACCGCCAATTAGAAAAGTATATACCAATTAATTAACGAAGAGATCCGCCTACTTTAGAGCCTTATAATAAGGAATATAATATTACTACCCAATATAGACTACTATACCGCTATATTATTTTTAATAGGGTAACTACAAAAAAGGCACTAAAACTTACTTATATATACCCTCATTAGCACTACAAAGAGCTACTCGTACATTAAATCCATTTATCTATCTATATATAGAGGTAATCAGGTACTAACTAGTCTAATTTAACAAAATACTTATAACTTCTACCTTCAACTTCAAAACCCCTATATTGTACTTATAAAGAAAGGCCGCCCCAAGAACTCTACTAGATTTATCCCTAACGAATATACCCTTCCTATAAAGTAGAAAATTTCCAAATAAGCTATACTAACTTTAAAAAGAAGAGGTAAGAAGGTTAAGCCTATTAAATAGAATAACCGCAATAATATCCTTTATTTATAGCCCAATATACAATGTAAATTATTTTATTAAGAAAGTAATAATAGTAACGAACTTACTCCTAGCTCTATTAATAAAGTCACTCAACGCAAGTATATACGTAAGCCGATTAATTCTAATATTTCTAATTATAGTAAGGAATCGGGTATAATATCTAAAAGCGATTTGAAGTTAGAGCTAGTACTAAATTATATTCAAGTAACTATACTAAATACAGAGTCAAAATTAGAATTAGAATTAGAATTAATATAACTCCCGCTTCTAGAATTCCCGCCTCTAAGATTCCTATTCTTTAAACTCTCTCCAATATTCAATTTTAGTCCCTCTTTAGAATTAAAATTATAATTAGAATTCTTACCCTCTCCAGAACCAACCCCTTCCCTAAAGTATACGCTAAAGCCCGCGCCAAAGCTAGAGCCGTAGTTATCTCTAGAACGATAGTAATCGTTTCTAAAGTTAGTACTAGATTCTATTTAAGTAGCTATACTAAATTCGAACTCCCTAATTAAACAAACGATTAAACGTAAAAGGGATAGACCTTCAATAAACTCCCCAACTACTAGGGTTATACGTACGAAGTAGGTAGAGGTAATTAAGTAGAAAATAGTAGTATAGCTATTTAAAGTATATAGATAAGTACTTTAATCTAGACTTTACTATACTTAAGACATTAGATCCTATTGAAATCTCGGTGTAAAATTATGTTACTGGATATTGCTATTATTTTTTTATTTACTTGTAATATAATGGAATTTAAAGTGTAAATGCTATTTTACTTAAAGATTTTAGTAAATGCGGATGCCTATATAAGGTCGGGTGCCCCCGTAAGACGACCCGGGTGCCCCCAGAGTAAATGCCTTAATTTTCGGTATAGTGGGGTAATAAAGAGAATAAATAGAATAGGGGAGAGGGGGGAACTTTGAAGTATATTTGCGGTAATAGCGTAGGGGCGGGATATTTTGATATTGAAGAAGAGGGAACTTCTTCTATTAGTAATGAAATCAATTACTTATTTAATAATTTATATTAGGAGTTATATTTACTATAGGGTATATAGTAATTACCTATAATTAATTCTATTGAACGTTCTCTTTAAATTGAAGAGTATAAGGGACGTTATAGCCCTAAGCTTCTAAGCTGTATATACTGTATTAGTAATTACCTAGATTGTAAACTCTCTCAAATAGTTTGCCTAGTTACTTATTTAGCCCTCCGGTAAGAAATTAAATTCTTCGGCTATTTATGTTAATCTTTTAATTATAAGTATTTCGAGGATTTTTCTAATGTTGTTAAGTAGTGATATAGGCTTCTATATACTTGCTAGCCTTTGTTAGGCGGTGGTTTTTTTAGGTTTTTTTGAATAATTATTTTTATATTTTTAAACCGTTATAGGAAATACCCGAATTAGAAGTTGATGGATACGAAATATACTATAATTTACCGGAATAATTGTTTATACAATTTTAGAAACCTATTTGAGTATTAATTAACCCCGGGGGTTCATTAGCGGTATCCGGGAAAATACGTTCTAAATGTCCTTTTTAGTAACTAATTCGTTAATAATTATTAGGTTAGTACCCTCTAATAACTTAATTTAATCCGGTAAATAGCCCGTAGGGACGTTTACCTTCGGGAAAAAGCGGTCGGTGAAAATCTCAGCCTTATTATCATAGTCTCCGATTTCTATTGCCCCTTCGTAAGTTTAAAGGGCTAGTAATCTGGGCGGATCTATTAATTAATAATTTCGGGTCTAGGTTTACCTCTCTAATAGCTAGAATTAATTCGGGTTTTTTGAAGCCTCCGCAACGCCCTTACACTATATAGCCCGCTATGTTTTCGCTATTATCTTTTTCTTCCTTATTGTAGCTTTGATAAAATCCCTCTAGTTCGATATTGTCCAGTATCCGAACTACGTCCAATATATCCGCCGCGCTTCCTTTATCGCCGTTTTATATCCTAATATCTATTAATTTACTCTTCTCCCTCGACCTTTCTTCCTGTATAGGACGAATTCCTCCGCAATGCTTGTGAGTTCCCCATCGAGCCTGCGAAAGGCGAGCTCGATAGTATTGTAAATAGTATTGAAATATAAGTAAGAATAGTAATATTATAAATAATGTTAAAATAGAATACGAGTAGTATTATTACGAAGAATATTAAAATATAAATACGAATAGTATTGAGAAACGAAAAAGAGTAGTAATATTAGGAATAGTATTAAAATATGAAAGTAGTATTATCGGAAGTAGTATCAAAGTATCCATTCTATCCTATTTTATATTTAATATTTCCTATATCTATAGGATTTATCTCATTAACTATTTATACTTTCTATTAATTTACTTATTGTATATCTATTATTTTCGGCACTTTCTTTCAATACTTTCGCCTATTATTAACAATCTACTACTTATACTAATGTTAGTATATTAATTATATTTGAAGATAATAATTTAGAATTTAAGGAACATTTACAGGATATATTAAAAGAAGAGGAAGAGTGCCGAAACTTAGTCGCTATAAAGCGATAACGAATTATAACTAATTGGGTCAATGTTACAGGGCTGGCGCCCAGGGGTATTGTTTGCCTGGCGTGTAAGCTAGGCGTGCCCTCTGGTTGGGTGCATAGGCTAGTCGGCTATCGGCAGCCGTCTTGGCGCTCAGATGCACTGTGTACTATTGGGGGCATCCCTCGGGAGCCGCACGGACTACATTTCTGGCCTTAGCATTTCTAGTACCTTCGATGCCTACGCTTTCTTCGTGTATTTAGCTGGAAGCTCTGTACTAGTAGGGTAAAGACTTCCCTCTTCCTCTTTATCGATTATTATAAGCTTTTTTTAGAGCCTATCTACGTATATACTTCGTAGATCCCTTACAGTCAGCACTAAAATAGCTACACTAAGCAAAGATGAACTTATTTATAAGAAAAAGAGAATAAATATTGCGAATTTCTCTAATCTCCCTATTCGCTCGAAATAATATACAAGACTACGTACTTTTAGAAATATACTAACTAATAGAATTTCAAGGATAAATGATATATTTCTACCCAATTCTTGTTAATAATATATTTATTGAAATCTTTAAATTATTTAGGGTCAGTATAGATAACTAATAGTTAAGTATCTAGGCGGTTGCTTATAAATAAAAGTATAGAAGTTAAGAAAGACATAGTTATATATAGTACTAGGGTTCATTAATAGTATAGAATGAAATATATAAATGGGTTGCGAGTAAGATAGTAAGTATTAGTATTTATACCCGAAGGTAAAAAGAAAAAAGAAAAGTAAAGATAGGGTATTATCGATATACTAGTAATTAAATAAATATTTCTATTATTATCCTCTTTATCTTCCTTAAAAAGGTTAATTAAGCCGTTTGAACGAATGAGGGCCGAAAGGCCGAGGAACTTTTAATTTGCTAGTAATAGTAATATTTATTTCCTTCTTCTTCTTTTCCTACTCTTGGAATTACTTTAATATTTCGAAGTAGTATTTAACATTCCTCTCTGGTGTAGTACAACGATGTTCGATAATGGATTAAGTAGGGTAATTAGCCGGGGTAGAAATAAGGAGGGCCGGGGGGATAATATAATTAGCGAAGGGGGGAGGGGGGGTAGGGAGAGAGTAATTGG